GCCCCACCCCATTTCCAGCACCCCTCCTCCGCTTCCTCTTCCTCCTCTTCCTCCTCCTCCCCGTCCTCTTCCTCCTCCTTCACCTCCTCCTTCTCCTCCTCCTTCTCCTCCTCCTTCTCCTCCTCCTTCTCCTCCTCCTTCTCCTCCTCCTCGTCCTCCTTCTCCTCCTCCATCCCCCACACCATCACCTCTCGCACCCAAGCGTCTGCGTTCGCCTCCCCCTCCTCCTCCTCCTCCTAGCCCCGCACCAAGTCCCGCACCAAGTCTTGTACCAAGCAACACGATGCTTGTGAGCTCCTTCCCCTTCGGCAGCGGCTGCATTCTGGGACGCGACGCCACGCAGTCCCCGGTGCGCTTGTCTGCACCCCTGGGGCCTATGAATGTAACCTCCAGCACCGCCACCTATTGCCTCCTCATCAGCAGCAACGCCTCACTAGTTAGCCCTACTGCTGAGTGCGCGGGCATGGATAGCGTACGCAGGGTCGATATGGTTGTGGGTAAGTGATAACGAACAAACTAGCTAGCCGGATTTCCATATGTGATGTCTGTGTGTCGTGAAGTCGTCAGTATCTCTTGAGTCGTCAGTATACGTATATATGAGTCTCACTTTTCAGTGCCTATACAGTATAATAAGAAGAGCTTTAACAAAGGCGAGTCATGCGTTTGCAGGTGCCTACATGTGGATATGTACATGTATATACCAAGCAAGGATATTTTTGAATATGCGACATCGTAAGGGAATTCTTATTTCATCGTTGTTCCCATCGTTACCTTCACCTCAAGGAGCTCCTGCTTTTCACTTGCTTTGGAAAAGCACATGTCCACCCACGGACCATGTCTAAGAGTTTGTACGGCCTTGTCCCCTTGATGCACATTCATTGCCTTATCGTAGATGCAACGTGCGTGCAACAGAAGCCCAAGCCCATCACGGTAGTAACCGTCAACGGCCGTGTGCCACAGCATAACCTCCAGATAATCAATTTTGATGGCGCAGAGTACGGCGTACTAACAATCAAACGCATTGACTCGTTGTTCCAAAGCATACCGGACAATGGGCTATCTGTGTGCCTGACTTTCAATAAGGCGGCTAGCGGGTGCAGTAGGCCTCGGGCTCTGTTCTTTGGTCCCACCATCGTGTACCAGGTCACCAGCATTGACTTCATGTGCTGCCCCACGTCGGAGGCGCCGGAGTCCTAATGATGTATCATTGTGCAGCGTCGGCTATTTACTTGAGACCCGTGCGTTTAAGAACCACACATGTAATTTCCGTCCCACTCGACAAGAATCTTCTCGTTTGCGCTGCGAGCAAATGAAGGAAATTGTCAGCAACAGCTGAGGGCTGGAGGCTGACGGACTGGGGGGAGGGCGGGGAGTGAGACCCCTCCCCCTCGGGAGGGTGGGGAGGGCGAGGAGGGAGAAGACAACTACAAACTTCAGGCTCTAATAGGAGTTACTCCCATGGATAAAATGTAGATATAATAAACTTTTTATAGTGATATTGTCTCTTACCCTTCGGGCGCAAACAAGGTTATCGATCTTCACAGCAAATCCCAGGATTACCCAAACACATCACAGGCATTCCAGGAAAACAAGTCGGCCTTTCGACATGTTTTGGTAAGAGTGAAGTTTGCTACACGAACACAACTCATCGATTACCTTTGCTCCTTGTATGCTTTCAATCTCACCATATACAATTTGTAAAAAAATCTCATCACAACATAGACTGCAGCACCCTCAACCGCACCCACTACAAACTTCGATAGTTCCTCTTTGGGGCAAGCCGACATACGTGTAGCGTGTGGTTTGAACTACCTACAGATAAGATTTATATGGATGACCTCTTAGGCGGATGAAGGCCTAGCGACCACTGTTCGATGTATTCGCTCGCTCACTAACCGCGAATAGCGATAGAACCAAAGCTTGCTCAGCACGATATGCTCCATCCAGTCCTACATCCGGCACTGAAGGGAGTGCGAGTCGAGCGGAAAGGAAAGAAACCAAAGGAAGGGTCGGAGAGCGCGCGGTCCGACCGGAGCCTTGAGCTGACCTAGCAGAATGGCTTCAGAGCTCATCCTGGACAGCACCTTGACGGCATTGCTGCCCGAATGGCTGCGTCGCCAAGCCTTTTGGAGACCGCAGCATGACATGGCTGATCTGTTCGGAAAGGTGTACATCGTGACAGGCGGCAACTCAGGCGTTGACTCACGCAGGAAACTCTTCTATCGGAATGTAAAAGGATCAAGGGGGAATGAGGACGGATGTCAACATTCTGTTTAAAACCCGACAGCGATCGCAACGATTAGCGATTTGATTACGTGCTCTCCTCAGCGGGCCCGCTACCACCAACCCGCGACGTCCACAGCCTTACTACACATTAACTGTGTCGGCCATATAGCACTACACCAATCTGCCCCACCGCGCCAACATCTCAATCAACGTGGTGAAAACTCAGTAAGAGCAGAACAAAGTTAGCAGCTAGCTAACGCGCACACAATCCCACACGTGCATACATGTACATGCGGTCCTGGAAGGGCACAATGTGAATGCACCGCTTGATGCGATGGCTAGCCAGTAGCCATATGCACGCACAAGCAAGGAAAGGTGGCGGGGAAAGGCCGCGTGATCTACAGCGGTTTTACGAGAGGCATGCGGCCGGAAACTACAAAACGGCAAAACGGCAAAACTGCAGCCGCTGGACTAACTGCTGAGACGGCCAATCCGAAATTGTCCCGTGTCCCCCGCCAACAAGGGAATCGAAATCGTCTTCACATAGAAGCCATTTGCGCACGCACGCACGCACGCCCACACCCGTAGGAGCCCAAAATCCAGTCCGCAGTCCGCAGCTTCCCGTTATCTTCTGCTGCCGCTCCTGTAGCTGGAAACCGACCACCCATTTTCCTATGGATCGATTATCGAGCCCCTTTTCACATCCTCTATCTTTGCCAACTTCCTGCCAACGACTCGTTATTGTTATCAACAACTTTACATAACATCAGCTGACTGACGGGCCGACGATCGTTAGGAAGGGATCGTCGTACATAAGGAGTAAAAAGCGACGTGGAGGGCGGAATAACAGACGAAATTCTTTTAATACCTCCCGAACCCACAAGAAGACCGTAGGGCCATACAAAGACTCCGCCGTACCTCTACCTCACCATCACCAAATTACCGGCCGTCACCACCATCATGACCATCATTACCATCAAACCAATAACAACAATAACAACACAATGACAGCAACTCCGACACTAACCTGATGGGAAAAGGACCAGAAAGGGCCGCATGGAAAACCAACCAGTCCACCGCACCTCACGGGGTGCACCTCACGGGCCGCTGCTCTTGCTCCCCTGCAGGACTGGACCTCTACCAGCGGCAGCGCTGCAGCCGCCGCTGCATTATTCACAACTCAAAAAACGTATTATAATCTTCGCATAATTGGCAGTCGCCCGGGATATTTGCATCAGGGCGGATCAGCCAATCTCTCTCTCTCTTTCACACACACATACATACACACACTCTCCTTCAGCAGGGACCTGAGGCAACGATCTGTACGACACAACTCATGTTAACGGCGATTACCTAAACTACCGTGCTCTTTATGTTGCCAATCAGGAAAATCTTCCCCCCGTGCTATCCTGTGTTTCTCCTGCAGCTGTGCTCGTGCTTCCACCAAAAGGAACATGAACGAACTAGTGCTACTGTTGCTGCTTGCGATTCTTCGAGGCCAAAGCCAACTAAAGGCCGCCGCCGGTAGTGGCACTCTCACCCCCCCTCGCACACGCACACACACCGTAGCCGGTGGCGGCGGCGGGCGCCTGAGAACGGGCAGCGTTCAGCGCCCGGCAGCACGCGGTGCCGCCGGGGGATGCTGCGAGGGAACCCCCGCAACGGCGACCTTGCCGCCGCCGCTGACGCCGCCACCGCCGCCGGTACCGCCTCGCAACACCGCCTGCAGAAGCCGCGAGCCGGTGGCCTCCTGCCTGGCGGCCCCTTTTGCCGCCCGCATCTCATGCAGAGCTGCGGTTACGGCACCCCGGTACGTGTTCATGACGATTAACAGATCGGAGCGCTTCACTGACAGCAAGAGTGTCCTGGAGGAGAACAAAAGGGTAAGGGGCCAGAGAAAAACAGAAAACGGAAAAAAAACGGCGAGGAGGAGTTTTAGGCGGTGTGTAAGTCAGGTGAATTAGCGAGGGATTAAGCAAGACTGGGGTAGTTGTTAACGGGCGATGGTGCATGCAATTGTGGTGGTTGGTGCCACATGGCTTCCGTCCAGTCAGTCCAGCTCCAACACCAGCCTCTTTCCCACAGCAATGCCGCAAGTGGACGATCCTGCCGAACGATTGACGGCACCGTAGATGCAGACGGCACCTCCTGGACGTGATGTGTGGTAATCAGCTTCGGCAGCTGCTCTTCACTCATCTCACATATTATTGCCGACATTGCGCACCCTTCCTAACCGCCAACCACCCTTCCACTTTACCGCACCTGTACTGGTCCAGCAGAGTGATCATGGATTGAGCCTCCGAAGGTTGGAGAAGGGAGTCATTGGGCCGCCCGTCAACACTGCCCAAAGAGGGTACCTTGTACTGCAATCTGACGTCAGCAGCGGAAACGGGGATGCCGGAGGCCGCGGAAGTGGCCGCCGCCATCGTCACCGTGTCCGCAGCGGTTACGGCCGCGGCAGCCGCCGCTGTCGCTGCCACCGCCGCCGCCGCCGCCTTCGTAATAACCGCTGCGGCGGAGGACGACGGGGGAACCGTCGAAGACGCCGTCGCTGCCGGCTTCGGCGGCGGTGGAGGGGGCTGCAGCACGCCGTTGCCGGCGGCCCCGGTCTGCGCCACCGGGCGGCGCACTGGCAGGCAGCCTGCAACGCCATCGGCGGCTCCAGCCGACACCGCCCCGCCGGCGGCCTGAAGCATCTCTAGGTCTACGTACGGCATCACTGCCGACGGTTCCTTCTTGCGTGTAAATCCTCCGATGCCTCTGCCGCCAGATGCGGGCACCATCGCGGAGTCGGTGTCAAAGGACTCGTCCAAAGACGCCGTCGCCAGACCCTGGCCGACTGCGGCGGCGGCGGCGGCGCCGCCACCACCGATGCCACCGCCGCCGCCGCCCGCCGCCGCCTTGAGTGCCGCCAGGTTGATGCCGAATGCGCCGCAGACGGCGTCAAAAAATCCCTCTAGCTGCTCCCGCGACGGAATGTACCTACAACAACAACAACAACAACAAGAACAACAACAACAACAACAACAACAACAACAACAACAACAACAACAACACAGTTTGCAGCCTTCTGCACCGTTGTGTTGCCTTGCCATGTACTGGGAGAGCGCCCCGGCTGCCGCGAGTGATGGAGTGAGCGAATGAGCACGGCGCGCGCAGAGGAACAGACGGATGTACAGCCGCGTGCCCGTCCCTGCGCCGTACTTCGGTCCGGTCAGGGCCCCCGACGGTGCTCGCCGTCCTTCCTCAGGCCGAGCCGCCCACAGTGTAACATCCCCCGTCAACAACAGCAACAATAACAACAGCAACAACAGCAGCGGTGACGGCGACCGTGACTGCAGCGACTCCCCATCAGCGGGGGGTAGTCAACGCGCAACGGCGACAGCGACGGCGGCCACGCAATGCCCACCAGCCCCACGCGAGCCTCCCCCCTCACCCCCTCCCGACTCGCCTGTCCGCGACCCAGCACTCCAGCAGCCGTGAAAGGTCCACTGCACGCATCAGTGGCAGGATCCTCGCGTGCTGGCCGCATACCGCATCCAAGGTGGCGTGTGGTAGCGGCAGCCCCTGTGCGTGGCTAAGTCGCAGCATCGCCACGAGCTCACTGCCAGACAGCTCCGCGGCACCGCCAGCCACCCGTGTGAACGCCTCCGAAACCCACTGCCTGCTGGGGCTGACGCCCAGTGCGGCCACGGAGCGGATAAGGCCTGGCAGACGACGTGGCTCCAGGGAGGCGAGCTGGGGCCTGCCGTCCTCCACTAGCGCCGAAACCAGGGGCTGCAGGAAATCCAGGGTATCGGTGCGCTGCGGGCCTGGCTCCGAAGGCACCTTTGCTGCTAGCCAATCGACCTGTGAGGAACGGATATTGGCAAGGGGAAAAAGGGAGGGGGAAGAGGGAGGGGGAATACATGCAAAAAAACAATGCCAGGGGGAGAGCGGGGGGGGCCGGAAAGACGAACAACGAACGAGTG